AGGTTCAGCTGGTTTGAGGAACTCCTGACCTTGAGTGATCGCAACCCTTGGCCCCAGAGTGCTAGGATTACAGGTGTACCTCTGCAACCCACCCAGTCCAATGATGCTTTGACTCTTTACCTAAGATGCTAATTTTCTTGTTGTCTGTAACTTTCACCTGCATGTTAAGCTTTTCACTGGACTTTACATCATAATGAAAGTGCATTCCCAGCCTGAACAACTACTCCTTTACCTTGGTGTAAACATCTGCGTGGCCTCAGGAAGACAAACTCGGTGTACGTCGTTCTTAAATAAAACTTTCTCAGTGAGCATTAAATACAATGTCATTCATGTTTTTTCACCTGGACGTTAGTCTTCATGATTAATAATTTTAACATAATTTGCATTAAAAGGAGTCTACTTTAGTCCAAAGCTGACATATAGTTTTGGATTTTGTCTACAGAAACAGAAATATTGTATTTTTTATTATTTCAGAGACAATAGATATACATCCGCCATCTACTGTACCCTTTAATTTCCTTTCTTTTTATTATGTTTTTAATGTTTATCTATTCTTCTTTTCTTCTTTTTTCTTAATTTTAGAATCACATAACATGCAAATACTGTAACCCTTTTTAGACATGATATTTCCTTGCTAATAGCCATTTAGCAATGATCAATCGATATTTTAATTCATTTTAAAATCTTGTTGATTCCTATGACATATACTATGTATAGGCAACAGGAATGATGAATGAAAAATAAATCACCCACACTTTCAAGAAGCTTAAATCTAATGAAATGATGAGTGATAAACACAGGCAGTTCGCCATGCATGGTGGATCACACCTTATAATCCTATGCACTTCTGGGAGGCAAGGAGGATGGATCGCTCAAGGTCCAGTGAGTTTCGAAACCCAAGCCTGAGAAATGAGCCAAGACCTGTCTGCTACTAAAAATAAAAGAAATTAGCTAGACAGCTAAATCATATATAGAAAATTAGCTGGGATGGTGGCACATCCTGTAGTCCAGCTACTCGGAGGCTGAGCAGGAGGATCACTTGCCCAGGAGTTTGAGGTTGCTGTGAGCTAGGCTGACGCATGGCTACTCACTCTAGCCTGCAACAGAGTGAGACTCTGTCTCCAAAAACAAAAAACAAAAAAACACAGGCATTATAATAATCAGTTAACTGGTGGTATATAATATTAGTGGGAACATGAACAGTAAGGACTAAATCTATATCCTTAAGAGAATGGAATATTCTTTAGTAGCATTTAGAATGAACTATGCTATCATTTTTTGCCTCAAAGATGAGGAGGAGGGACAGGCGTGTGCAGAGAAGGAAGGGAAGACATGAAGCAGGATGATCGTATTTCAACAACTACAAATAGTAGGATTCTGATATGAATTTTATTTTTTTTTTTTTTTGATCATAGTCTTACTCATTGCCCTGGCAGAGTGCCCTGGCATCAGCCTAGCTCTACAGCAACCTCAAACTCCTGGCTCCAAGCCATCCTCCTGCCTCAGCCTCCATAGTAGCTGGGACTACAGCATGTGCCACCATTGCCTGAGTAATGAATCGATGAGAGGTAAGAATCATGTAAGAAAAGATTTATATGTCAGAAATAAGACTCTCCGTTTTTACTAGTAAGGTAGGAAGGTCTCAGATAGGCTAACATACAGTTTATCTTCTAAACCAGGACACTCTGAGAATGAGAGGTAGCGCTCCTAATGAACCAAACAGGATACAGGTGCACAGCTCCAACAACCAAAAGGATAGCAGGTGCAACTGATAGAAGGCCACGGCCTTGGTGCCCCCTGGCCTGCGACTTTGATGAAACTTACTGTTGAAAGCAGGAGCTTGCCGTTCACAAGGTGCCGTTCCCCGATCAGGGACGCCCGCAGTAGGTCTCCCTCTCTTTTGAGCCGCCTGCCCACGGATTCTTTCCCTCCCTGCCGCGGTGGAGCCCCCTGATTCGTCGTAGGTGCTGACATCCCTCGCTCAGTCTCCAACAGTGTTAGAAAAGGCCAGTTTGTCCAGGGGAAATAGCAAGAATAGTGCTGTGTATTACACAGCAAGACAAACCGGTTGTCCTCGTATGTTGTATCGCAACAAGATCTTGCACTCGATAGGTACAAAACGGAACCTGGTAGCAGCCTGTATCCTGCACACTCAGCATCGTGCTCCAAGATGCTTCAGCACTTGAGAACGTGTATGAACAAGGCACACTTGGAGAATGTGTATGACAAGTCCAGCACTTGAGAATGTGAGGACAAGGTCATGGCTAAGCCCAGGACTCCACCACCAGACTCTCCCTGAGTTTGAATTTTTGGTAATTATTCAACATCTTTGTGCTTCATTTCCCCATCTCTAAAATGGGACATAAATGTATAATACCTCTGTCTAGATTGCTATTACGATTTTTTTTTTTTTTTTGAGACAGAGTCTCTTGGCCCATCACATAGAGTGAGTGCCGTGCGTCACCTAGCTCACAGCAACTCAAGTCTCCTGGGCTCAAGCCAATCCTCCTGCCTCAGTCCCGAGTAGCTGGGACTACAGCATCGCCACCTATGCCCCGGCTAATTTATATATATGAATATATTAGTTGCCCAATTAATTTCTTCTATTTATAGTAGAGAACAGTCTTGATCTGCTCCAGGCTGTTTCGAACTCCTGACCTCGACAATCTCCTGCCTCAGCATCCCAGATGCTAGATTACAGGCGTGAGCCACCGCGCCGGGCTGTTATTAGGATTAAACAATTATTGTGCATAAATCACTACAACTATGCCTTGCTAAATTTACCAATCACGACTGTTTATGCTGCAGGTCATCTCATGCATTTAATTTAAAGAGTATCTGAACTTACGGCTGTTGATGACTTTTTCAGCATCGGCCTTGCGCTGATTTTAAAATAGAACAACAACAAAATATCCATAGTAATTTCAACCCAGCACTACTGACCTGGGTGAGGAGTAAGGAGCTAGATTGAGCAGGGCAGAGGGTCCAGAAATAATTTGGAATTTCAAGAAGTGCAATAGAAATAGAGAATATTTGTTTATTGGAATTGTCCTTTCCACCTATATGTGAATGTATGATATAGAAGTACTATCTTCATATGAATATGTTCCATGTGAAAATTCTTTTTTGTTTAATGAAATTGTATTCACCATTGTATACAAGTAGGAAATTGAGAGTCTCTTTCCTTAGAAGAGAATCCCCACAAGTGACCTCATTTTTGTCAAATACAAAAATAAACTTGGAAGGTGGACCTGTCTTATCCTGATGATCCAGTGCTACTTTTGAAATTTTATACAATCATGGAAAAGAAAGAATAGCAAAGATACATCATAATTAATAAAGACTGTTTCAATATCAGCGTCCTCAAACTAACGGCCCCGGGCCACATGTGGGTGTTTTTGCCCTTTGTTTTTTACTCAAATAAAAATGTGCAGTGTGCATAGGAATTTGTTCATTAGTTTGTTTTGTTTGTTTTTTTTTTTTGAGAAGAGTCTTGCTTTGTGTCCAGGCTAGAGTGAGTGCCGTGTGCATCAGCTAGCTCTACACAACCTCAAACTCCCTGGGCTCAAGCGATCCTCTGCCTCTCAGCCTCCCCAGGTACTGGGACTACAGCATCCACCACCATGCCCGGCTAATTTCTTATATATATATATATCATACTATATATTACTATATAATATATATATCTCAGTTGCCAATTAATTTCTTTCTATTTATAGTAGTAGACGGGTCCCTCTTGCTCAGGCTGGTTTCGAACTCCTGACCTCAAGCGACTCCACCTCAGCCTCCCAGAAGTGCTAGATGACAGCGTGAGCCAACCACCTGGCCCATAGTTTTTTTTTAATATAGTCCAGCCTCCAACGTCTGAGGGATGTGAACCGGCCCCGTGTTTAAAAAGTTGATACCCCTGGTTTACAGGTCCCATGTCTGTTAGAATGAGCACACACTCTCTTCCCAGAAACAATATTCACCGTGTTAGTATTGGGGTGTGGATGTGATTTTAATGAAGAAAACAAATAATTGCTCTGATGCAAAACAAGACTTACTCATGTTTTTTAAAATATTGAAGATGGGTTTTGTGCCTGGCGTTGGGGACAAAATAATGAAAGCGACACTGCTCCCGTGCAATGCATAGCTCACCCTGGAGTCTCAGAGAATAGGGTATTCGCCACCGACCCTGAGTGTGCCCAGCACTGGCGAGAGCTCCTCGATTCTTCTTCTCGTATTTCCTTCGTCGATCTGGAGCCTTGAAAGACCACCATGATCTGTGCTGTCACGCCGTTTGTTATAGGACTGGAAACAACATAAAAGTTTTCACATGCTCTAAAATAGCATTTACTTCTCATTCCTGATTTGTTATAGAGTTAGCTTCTTCTGGTCTCCCGTGCGGGTTTGTGCAGCTTCGCTTAGTTAAGAGTAGAGTCATCCATCTGCCTACTTTACTTGGTGATAGCTATGCGTGTAGCTATATTAATTTAGATGACAAGCATTCTTACGAAGTGAAAAACAGGACAAACTGAGGCATAGGGTGAAAGGCATCCACTAAGAACTTGGGATCCTACCCTAAAAATCAAAGTTTGAAAGAAAGAAAGAAAGAAGAGAGAGAGAGAGAGAGAGAGAGAGAGAGAGAAGAGAGAGAGAGAAAGAAAGAAAGAAGAAAGAAAGAAGAAGAAAGACAAGAAAGAAAGAAAAGAAAGAAAGAAAGAAGAAGAAAGAAAAAAAAGAAAGAAGATAGAAAAGAAAAGAAAAAGAAAAGAAAAGAGAACTGGGATCTTTGATTTCATGCATTCTTCAATCATTCACTGTAGCTATATTATTCAATTTAGAGACAAGGAGTTCTACAAATCTGAAAAAACAGGAAAAGCCTGAGGCACAGGATAAAGGTATCCACTAAGAACTGGGATCTACCCTAAAATCAAAGTTAAAAAAGAAAAAAATAAAGAAAGAAAAGAAAAAAGAACTGGGATCTTTCATTTCATGCATTCATCAATCATTCACTGGGCAACTGCCATAGACAAGCATCTGGACCATGGGATCCAAGGGTAACCAAGACACAGTTCCCATCCTCAAGGAATTTCCAGACTTTTCATGTATACAGATGATTATAATACATGAAGCAGAAGCAATGAGATATTTATATTATCTGGAGATATTCATAGGAAGGATGGGGCATTTGTCTAGCTCTTCTTCTAGGTCTCCCTCTGCCATTCCATGATACACAAATCCACATGCAAGAAACACAGCACATCTATCTTACTTCTTGTTATGGTGACTAGAAGGTTTTCCTTGGTCTCAAAGCCTCGATTTAATTGGTGATATGCTCTCTTCTATCCTATATCTAATAAGAAATCTAGGGGAAGTTCCACAACTGTTGACTTGAAAGCAGAAAGACAGGAAAAAGCAGGGTCTATTATTTATGCTACTGCTAAATAAAAATGTTAGAGCATCAAACTATCTAATGTTTTCTGGACATAATTAATACTTAGAAAACCAGAAGGATGAGTCATCTGTAATTTGAAGATTAATACACTCTCAATACACAATGAACTCATCTAGATAGACTCAATCTTTCCTTTGGTTTTATATGGAACGATTAGTCTGATACTATAATAATGCTGGATATTAGCAGGTTATTGGCTAATGAGGGTACCATATTAATGAACACTTTTTACATAAAAACTTGAAGTATAATGGTTATGTATGATAGGTTGATCTCTTTTCTAATAGTTCGTGTTAGTTACTTACACCAGTGTGATGACTTGAGAATTGATATATTGTCTGTAAATGCTAGAACTTTGAAATGCATCTTCCATCTGTTAAAAGAGAACATAGATTCAAACATCCAATTCCAATAATATTTTTATATTTTAGACAATTAACAATGAAACAAATAAAGAAAAATACTAACTTACCCTAGTCTCAAGAATTTTGCTAAGATAGTTATTTTCTGGTGATGTTTCCCTTTCATAATTTCTATTATAGGGGATGTCCAGCACGTTAAAGCTACCTTGGTAGTAGTAGGTCCTGTTTTCTTTAAGATAGAGAAAAGATCCAAGAATTATTTAAATTAAATAAAATCTTCTAATACAAACACTTCAAATAGAAATATAGATTTCATAGAATTACCAACTAGCATGTATTGTGCTCATATTAGATATTGATAAACCCTTGTGAATTTTTATGATACAATTGATTGGATAATCTAGGCATTATAGATATTGTTTATAGGATCAATAATTGAATATAGGCCGGGCTTGGTGGCTCACGCCTGTAATCCTAGCTTATCCTGGGAGGCCAGAGGCGGCCGTCGACGAGCACCTTCAAACCAGCCTGAGCAAGAAGCCGAGACCCCATCTCTACTATAAATAGAGAGAACATTAATTGGCCAACTAATATATAACCTAAGAAAAAATTAGCTGGGCATGAGTAGCCGCATGCCTGTAGTCCCAGCCACTCAGGAGGCTGAGGCAGCAGGATTGCTTGAGCCCAGGGAGTTTGAGGTTGCTGTGAGCTAGGCTGACAGCCATGGCACTCCACTCTAACCTGGGCAACAAGAGTGAGACTCTGTCTCAAAAAATAATAGAATAATAAAAATAATTGAATATATATACACAAATATTATAAGAATAAATAGACAATCGCAGAATGGTAGGAAATATTTGCAAACTATCATCTGACAGGGAGATTAATATATGGAATATACAAGGAATTCAATCAAACAACAACAAAAATAAAACCTCCAAATAATTCCATATAAAAATAGGCAATTGATCTAAATAGAAATCTTTCAAGAGAATATACAAATGGCCAATAGCTATATGAAAAAAATGCTTAACATTACTAATTATCAAGAAAAATGGGGCCAGGCGCAGTGGCTCGCACCTATAATCCTAGCACTCTGGGAGGCCGAGACAGGTGGATTGCCTAAAGGTCAGGAGTGAGAACCAGCCTGAGCAAGAGGAGACCCGCATCTCTACTATAAGTAGAAAAGAAATTAATTGGCCAACTAATATGTAAGAAAAATACGCAGCAGCGGCCTGCAGGCTGCGCATGCCTAGTAGTCCCAGCTACTCAGGAGGCCGAGCAGGAGGATGGCTTGAGCCCAGGAGTTGAGGTTGCTGTGAGCTAGGCTGATGCCACGGCACTCACTCTAGCCTGGGCAACAAAGTGAGACTCTGTCTCAAAAAAAAAAAAAATGCATATCAAAATCACAGTGAGATATCATCCCACCCAAGTTAGAATGGCAATTATCAAAAAGACAAAAATAACTAATGCTGGAAAATATGTGGAGAAAAGGGCACTCTTAGACCACTGTTCATGGGGAATGTAAATTATATACCGACATCTATGGAAAACATTATGGCAAGTTTTCATCAAAAATTGGACAATAAACTAACCCAGAAGTGCCAGCAATTCTACTGTGTGTGTTTGTGTGTATCTCTGAAGAATAAGAAATCACAATGTCAAAGAAACATCTCCACTCTCACATGTTTATGAAGCATTATTCACAATAGTTGAGATATGGCATCAACCTAACGTGTCCATTAGTAGATAATGGATAAAGAAAATATGGTGTGTATACCACAATGGACATAATTCTGCCCATTAAAATAATAAAATC